ACATTCATCTACCTCATCTTTGACAAAGAGACCAAATATGTTCACTGGAAAACAGCCTCTTTAATAAATGGTGCTAACAAACTGGTTGTCCATGTGACAAATGTTAAACCAAAATCTCCTATCTCTCACCAAGCACTAAACTAAAATTGAAATGGATCAAAGAGCTCAATATTAAAAGAGAAACAATCTACTGGAATATAGAACAGGTAAAACTCTTGGAGACATGGGTGTAGGCAAAAACAAGAGAATCAACAATTTGGATCACATATTAAAGTGATTGCACAGCTAAAGAAGCCACCAACAGGGTGAAGACACAACCCACAGAATGGTAAAAAATTTCAGCAGCTATTCCTCAGACAAAACACTAAAATCTAGAGTGTAACTAATAAAGGGGCTGGGGGGATGCCTTAGTGGAATAAGTGCTTCCCTGGCAAGCGCAACGGCCTGAGTTCAATCCCCAGTTCCGCTAAAAACAACAACAACAAAAAACAACTAATAAGGGTCAGCCAAATAGCTCAGCATATTAAAGTGCCTGCAAGCAGGCGCAAGGGCTAAGGGTTCAATCCCCAGGCCTGCCGTGCCAGCCCCGCCGCCAGGGCACACTGAGATGGTAATCAGCTCTTGGGAGGCTGTAAAGGAGAATCACTATGAGTCTGATCTAGTAGTGAAACTCTGAACACCCTATAGACCCTTCCCTAAAATACAGAATTAAAAAAAAAAAAAAGAACCAATATGTAAATTGGGCATTTGGAATGAATAAACACTTCTCAGATGAAAAGTACAAATAGCAAATAAGTACACTACAAAATGGCCAACATAATCAGTCATTCAAGAAATGCAAATTAAAATAGCTCTGAGACTTCATCTCCATAAAGAATAGGGATCAACAAGAAATCAACCAATAAGAAATGCAGGCAAAGCTGAGGTAAAAAGTAACCCTTCTCTACTGTTCATGGAGTGTAGACTGGTACAACCACTGTGGAAATCAGTGTGGAGATTTCTCAAAAAACTAAAAGTAGAAATTCCATTTGACCCAGCTATTTCCCTTTTCAGTATCTTTGCAAGAGTTCAAAGTATCGCATCACAGTGATATGTACATGCCGTTTACAGCAGCACAATTTATAATAGCTAAATCTTGGAAACAACTCACATGCCCATGAAAGATGAATGGATAAACAAAGCGTATTTTTACATATAATGGAATAGCACTCTGCTACAAAGGAGGGTCAACTTGAGACATTTTTAGGTAATGGATGCACCCTGAGAATGTAATTTTAAGTGAAATAAATTGGACGTTTAAATATAGCACTGCTTCTCTTGGGTGAGAAACTTCAAAGGCAAACAAGGAATAAAAAGGGAGGTTAGATGTTGGGAAGTAGGAAAAAAAATACAAATGGGAAATGGAAAAAGGGAAAGGGGATAAGGGGAAGAGAAGGAAGGGACCAGGGATTTTAGAAAAGGAAGCTTCTTTGGCAAGCGCAGGGACCAGGGTTCAACCCCTGCTGAGCCAGCGATGGAGACCGTGTGTTGCAGCGCACGCCTGTAATCTCAGCACTGGGAGGCTGAAAACTGGAGGATCACTGAGTCCGAGCTGTGCAGGGAGACCTCTACCAAATACATAAAAAAGGAGTGGAAGAAAAACAATGGAAACGAACTTTTATAGTTGGTAGGTGAAAAAGGACTGGAAGGAGGGGAGGGGAATGCAGGAAAAATTGTAACATGCACAAGTATAAATTTCTTATGATGAATGTGATCATTATGTATGTGAAAATGTAGCAATAAATACCAGCTTTAAAAATTTCTTAAAGATGACATTGTCAACAAATATATCATTTTTATTTGAAATATTTTATTATTTTGTTTACAGCGCTTCCAAGAAATTAAAAAGTAAACTCATTTTAGCTCTGTAAAACACAAGGTTGGATTGGAATCACTCACATTTAAATATTTCTCTATAAATCAAATGATAATTTACACTTTTTAAAAAGTTGTTGAGACAGGTTTTCCCGTGTAGTCCAGGCTGGTCTTTAATTCACTACTGGGCCCAGGTTGGCCGTGAATAATCATCCTGCCTCAGCCTCCAGAGTGTAGAGATGCAGGCAGGTGCCACCACACCTGGCTAGTTTATCAATTTTAAATGGTAAAACCATGAAAGATCAAGAGGAAAAAAAAAATCAAATGTCAGAACATTAAAATTACTATTTTCAGGTTGGGGAGATAGCTCAGCAGTCTAAGCTCCTGCCTAGCAAGTGCAAGGACCCAGATTCAATCCTCAGTATCATATACCATGCTGGCCCCACACAAAGTGACCACCAAAAGCTGGAGTGGTGGCGCACACCTATAATCCCAGCGCTGGGGACGCTGAGACAGCAGGATCTGTCTGCATACTGAGACCCTGTATCAACCCCCTCCAAAAAACCCCCTATTTTCCATATGAACATATTATCTGACATTTACATTAAAAATAAATTTTTATTGATGAAAGAATTTTTAACTGTTTTGATATATGAGAAGCTTGCTTAGTTTTATTTACTTACTTATTTATTTAGAGACAAGGTCCTGCTAAACAGTACAGGTTGGTCTCAAACTCACAACCACCCTCCTGCTCCAGCCTCGCAGGTGCTGGGATTACAGGCCTGCACCACCTGGCCTGAAAATGTTCACCAGTTTTAAAAATCAAATTCAAATGTTCCGAAGCTTCATGCAAAGCACTTTTTCTTGTCATTCTTAGTCCTGAAAGTAGTTAGCTTGCTTTCTTCTAATTATTGACTGTATAAGCATTTTGAAATTTTCCTAAACCTTGTGAAAGTTTTAAAGAAACTCAAGGCTCCATGGGGGGTAGAGTTGGCAATTTTTACCATTTCAACTGATTATAGTTGCAAGAAAGTCTTTTCTTTCCTATGGTTTTTATTAATTTTTGTTTCCTACCCTCATTTTGAAATAAATAAGAACATTAGGAATTAAAACTTGGAAAAACTAGGAAAGCCCAATACAGTAACACATGCCTATAACTGCAGCACTCTGAAAGGCTGTGGGTTGCAGATCAGTGTAAAAGCACTGAGTTCGATTCCCAGTACTGAGCATGTATGTGTATGGTGTGTGTGGGGGGAACCACATGGAAGAAAATTGTCAAAATTAAACTCAATGGCTATAAATTTTATGCTGCAGGATGCTAACTACAGTAGAAAATCATTTGGAGTGTTGTGAAAAACTGGCAGCAAAACTGAAATTCAACCACAAATTCTATTAAATTTATACAGAAAAAAAATCCAGCAAAATTATTGCAAATAAGGGACAGTGAGATAGCTCAGTGGACTAAGTGCCTGCTTTGGCAAGCGCAGGGACTGGAGTTCGATCCCAGGAATGTGGAGCCAGCCGGCCACCGAGACCCAGCATGATGGTGCACATCTGAAATCCCAGGACCAGGGAGGCTGAG